TTGGCTTGGGCAAGTAAGTACATTTTATGTATAAATATTTATAAAAATCTAAAGAATATATATTTTTAAAGTTCTGTAATTTATGTACTATATTTTATTAATTTGTATACATGTTTATATATATTTTATTTTTTATTTTTTTGTAGGTTTTTTTTAAAAGCTCCTATAAAATAAATCTCAAGGTAAGAAACCCTGAGCATATAATTTAAATGTTAACTATTAAATATTAATATGGTTTAGTATTTCTATTTTATAATGCTTCGGTCATTGTTTTCCATCCTAGTGTCTGTCAAGCCTGAGCTTATGCCGATTAGAGTTGCGTGTGGAGATCAGGCTTTGGAAATGATCATGCTTGTCTGTAATAGGTTTGTAGTCATTCTGTTAAAGGTGAGTCATGTTCACTGAAACGTTGAGGGGGAAATTGGATCCTCTTTCCATCTGCCAACAACACGAATGCAATTTTATCTGCCAGATCTGCTCAGCTGATCACTAAACTGGTCCAAGAGTCCTTTGGGCCTGTCCATCTCTCTACTCTTAACTGCTCACGCGCTTCTCTCTGCCAGAATCGCTCTCTGGCGACCGAGATCAGCCCCTCAACATAATCAACAGATGAAAACCACCCCATAATCACGGCGAGGCCTCGATAAACCTCGCATAAATCTGTCCCTGCTTTACAGTCGTTCACCCCACAAGTTAATTTGTTGTCTGACAGGTGCCGTGTCAAACCGATAAGCACTTGGTCTTTCTGTGTGCCCTTGACTCTGTCTCTGAACAGTGTTAGGGTGCCATTAAACTTGTCAGTTTTGTGGGCAGTGGCCTGCTGGGAGAACAGATGCTGCTGTCTCAGTGGCTCTTAAAGTCACTTTACTGTCACGGGATGAATGCGACATAACATTCAGCTGTCCATACGATTAGCATCTTTTTTGGGGCATTTAGTAAAAAAATCTAAGAAAACCTTTGACTATATGTATGTGTTCTGTTTTGAGTTTCTACAAAAATTATATGGAATTGCTACTATTATTATTTTATACATAGTCATTTATACCCTAGTGAAAAATGAATTTACTAAAATGTTGTCGAAATACGTTTATTTCATGCCAAGTAATACTACAGATGTATTTACATATTTATGTACTTATTAAAAATACCCTTTTGTTATACTAAATTGGAACAACTAATGCACTTTAATTGTGTGGACGTTGTGCTGAAGTCCAACTAAAGATATAATGAAGTATATTTGATTGTGCTAAAGTGGAACTATTGCAAGTATACTTTAGGTACACTTTAAATATCTCACATTTAACGACTGATATTATTCAAAGATCATACAATCCTCATCAATGTTCAGTAGAGACATTAGAACACATTTTAGACTATATTAAAAAATGTGCATTGCGCTTAAGTTTTATATCCGTAAGTCTTGATTGATATGTCAGTAAATGTTAATAGATTATTAGAGAATTAATAGAACTTAGTATAAAAAAAAAACGCTTGCATTTCATTTGCAGTTTTTTTTTCCTATAGGAAAAGTGACTTCTCTTAACAGACAAAGAGTTTAATTTTTTAATTAATGTAATTAAATATTTATTTTTTTAAAAAGACCCAAATTACTATGTGACCAGTGGAGTAAAATATCAGTCTCTTTGTCTGGATAAGGTTCATTTCAAAAGCTATCTTTTATAAATAACTTGTAAATTATTTTCACACATTTTATTGGGGGAAAAACTGTTCATCAGTGTGAAAATGGCACAACAGAGGGACAGTTGTAATGTTTATTTAAACAACAACTACAAAATAATAACATTTGGAAATAGTTTATATGGTTTTGGTTTATTGTGGTTTATAATAAGTTTTTTTTAATGCTGTATTTTGATATTATAATTTGAGAATTATTTTAAAAACAAAAATCTAACAAGTGTTAAAATGAACTGTTTTCATGCCCTGCTCCTCCTGTCATTGTGGTTGTTTTTTTTAATGAATTAATCTTTCATTTTATTTTATTTTAAAATAAAATAAAAAGTCCCAAATCACTGTGACCAGTCATTTAAAAATGCCCCTTTATTCAGTTATTGTTTCATGTGCTTGCTTTGTGCAAGTAAGAGCTGAACACAAAATTAAAGCTTTTCTTGTAGCAGAATCCACCAACAATAAAATAATATACTTCAGAAATATAAGTACAAAAGAGCTGTTTTATTATTTTTGTAACACTTCCTAACTTCCTCTCTGGTTATTGCACCAAGAAAGTGTCTGCAAAGAGCAGAAGTAAAGTATATAAAAAAAATACCTCAGTGTTATTAGCATTTTCAGATGTTGCATTTACGGGTTTGACTTAAAAATGATGAGATCCTTCGACTGATCCTTCAAATTTGACCCAGCAACTACGAGCTCCACATATAACCACTCGCTGAGGCGTCATTGTGTCATTGCCATTCCATTTATACTCATGTAAACATCACAGTGCCTCAACCCTGAGTGAAAAGGCATTTACAACCTGCCGTTTTGAGTGGGAACTGCATTCCTTCCTTTTTTAAAGCAGTTTTATGAGGTCATATAGGACCTGCCGATCACCCCTCTGTGGCCTCAAACTGAAACTTGAGGTTTCACTCTGAACTTAATGTTATAATATATGCAGTGCATACTTTACTGCAAACCGTTATTGCTTTCCTGATGAGTGACTGTTGAGCGTTTACATCCAGCGTGGCATAAACATCGGGTCTTTTGGGGCGAGTTATCGTGAATGGCATCCGCAGCTGTGTCCCAGCCTTTTTCAGAACAGCGATCTAGTGCAAAGGGGCAACGTCGTGACTTAGCACAGGTCAAATGAGCGGTGGTGCTAATTTGAACAGGTGGATGGTCACACGGGTGTTGCTCTCTGCCCCTTTTAGAAAATAAAGACTTTTTACACTACTGACACGGTCCAAAAATGGATATACATGCATCACAGGAGAATTCTCACTTTTTCCGCTGAAAGGCAGGATCGTTTTAAAATCGTTCTATGATTGTTGGAGTAAAATAGCTCCTTTGACTCCTTTGTCTCGCTATGGCCAATTTCACAGCTATAGCATTTTATTTATTTGAAATACAATTAAATTTGGCTTATTTTAAAGTATAGATTTCAATTATTTTATCATGGATTTTAATATATTGTTTGCCATTTGAAAAGTAACTTTTCAGTAAGCCAGCGAAGCGTTATATGAACTCTTTTCATGCGCGGCTCCACCTGTCGTTGTGGTTTCTGAGGGTTTTCTGTGTGCAGTTGTCCTGCTAATGCGGAACATTTTGTTCAGTGCCTGTAGTTTTAGTGTCCGTCATTCCCTAAACCGGATCTGCTCTCCTGCCGGTCAGGAATACTGCGGGATTGTGACTGTGCGAGTGTCACACGTGTCTGCAGGGGGTTAATAAGAGTCTCTTCTGCATTTGCTGCTGATTATTGAAATGATCATTTGTTATGCTTATATCAACAGATTCTATCTGTTGTTCAGTCTGTAGTTTGATTGATCTATTATTCTATTATCTATCATGAGTTCTATTGTTCCGTTTATCTGGCGATAGTTTCATCTATAGTTTGTTCTGTTGCTATCATGCTATCTATTGTTCTACTTGTAAATCTGTTTATCATTCTTTCGTTTGCGCTATTGTTCATTCATTCACTCTTTCTGTTCATTTGTTTGTTCTATCTGTTGCTCATTCAATTTTTTTGTTCGTTTGTTTGCTCTAGTGTTCATTCCTTCTATATATCTATTTATATTTATTTCGTTCATTCTTTTGGTAGTTCCTCGTTAATCAATTTATTTGTCCATCTATTGTTCTATTTATCTATCTATTGTTCTATCTATATCTATCTATCCTGCTATTTATCGTTCTATCGTTCTTTCTATCTATCGTTCTATCTATTTATTGTTCTATCATGCTATGTATCTAACTTGTGTATATATATATATGTTCTATTTCATTTGTTCTTTTGTTCTATCTGATGTTAGCTCTATTATAATATCTATCGTTTTATCTATCTGTCTGACTATCTATTTGGGAATCTATATCTGTGTCTGTCTGTCTATCTATCATTTGATCTAATATTTGTTCGTTTGGTTTTATCATTCTGTCAATATATCTATTTCATTGTTTGTTCGATTATCTGTCTGTCTGTCGATCTATTTATCTTGTAGAATGACATATTGGTTTTTCACTAATGCATTCAGTAGTGAGTATTAGTTACTTGTTTAGTTGAGGTTATGTGGATTTCAGGTTTCAAAGTTTTCAAGACTTCCCAAAGTCTGTTATCCAGGTTGATCTTATTTTACTCATCTTGGTTTCATTGAGAAGAAATCCTGCCCAGTGTTTCGAGTCGAATGAGACCCAAACACAAAATCCTTCCACCGGCATCCAGCTCTCCAGTAAATCTTTGTTTCTGGGACTCTTCGTCCGCAGTAATGTTCCAGATCTTTACAGTGCGCGAATCAAAGGCTTTGCACATAGACGTGCAGCAGGGGCCCCATTGTTCTCCACAAAATGTTAATGGCCGGAAATATTAATAATCTGCGCACAGGGCTCTGGCCTTTGATGATCTGTTGACGAAACTGATCCGGCACTTTTGAGTGACTGACTAATGGCATTCCTCACACTTGCTCTATCATTGGCTGGAGAGAGAATGAAAGTGTAAGGCAGCCCTCGGGGACTCCCAAATGGTCAAGTGCCTTTAACGTCCCTGCTTCATTCCTCCAGCCCTCATCCCAGCTTTACTACCAGCCCCTTTGAGCACCCTTTTTTTATCCACTTTTTTTTTAGACGTTTGAGGGTCTGGCAGAAGCTCAGTGAGAGGGCGCGAGTGGGCTAACTTTCGTTACCGCTGCTGATCCCAGAGGCACTGGAGGCCAATCCAAAACAACACGGCTGCACGGAAAGACTGGACCTCCATCGGGATTCAGTGCAGAAAAACCTCCTGCGACTCTCAGGAAGCAACTTGTTGGATTTTCTTGTGGGTAGAAAGTTTTTTTTCTACCATGAAGCAAACTTGGGACAAGGGTGTTTTTGAGAACGGCCAGTCAAACATTCCAGGGAATGTTGGGAAAGCTTCCGCTGAACACCTCCAGAGGTAGGTAATGTGTTGCTGTGGGAAAAGTAGTTAGTGTTGCATGGAGATGTATGAGTGAAAAATCAATTTGTTCGCAAGCTTTTCACCACAGTTTTGGTGGATAAATCATGCTTAAGTAGCAAGTACAGTAAGAAATCTTCTAAAATGCTTTAAGTCACATGGTTCTTCTCAAGACACCCCAGGATGATGGATGGGTTTGATGAGTGTAACTTGGAGTTCTTTGCCAAAGTGTAATTCCACTGTGATTCTGAGCAGTATTATTGTAGCCAAAGATCTCTAACATAAACACCGTTATCATTCCTCTTGCTTATCCCATCATGCTTTCTGTCCTATTACAAAAGTAAATATTTTACCAATGTGTTTAAGGTTATTTGAATATAATCAGTTGCTTGATTTTATTGAAACTTTTGTATTATAAATGGTTGTTTTAATTATTTTTTATTATTATTCTAACACTGGTTCTGATTCTGACTATTTTAAAAGTAATACTGAAAATATATTCACTTGAATCTGGTAAAAAAAAAAAAAAAACGAGTTAGCAGGAATGAGAAAATGGGGGGGAATCCATATCTATTTATATACATTAATAAGAT